AGCCGCGCGTTCGGAGCAGGGAAGCAGGCACAAGGTGCCGTGAGCGACCTCAAACGAAGAGCCTAAGTCACACCGAGGAGACAGAACCGTACACGGCAGTAGAAAATCTGTGCCAAAAGATTAACTGGATCCAACGCAAACTCTTCCCTGTGCCCCCTCTTTTTCTTTGACAGTATAATACCATCCAAATATTGGCATTTAACGGTACGGCTCTAGCTTTCACATGACAGCCTTTCTGCTGCACGGCTGATGAATCATGCAGGCAGGGACCAGATCGGGAGACGTATTAATGCACATTTCCCCCTGCCCTACTCCCACCCCCCTTCCAGGGCAGAAGCAGGCTTTCAGTCGCGCTTCCCTGCTTCTGTATGTAAAATCCACGCGGGCAGCAGGGCCGGCCGACCCTTCCACCCTCCCTAAGCCCTTTCCAAAGCAGAGCACGGCTCCCAGGTCCCATCAGGGCGATGGCAGCGAGTGCCAAGTATCTAAGCCAAGTCTGGGTTTTCAGGTTGTAAGGAGGGAGGCAGGGATTCCCACCGGCATCTCTCCGGCCAAACTCTGCACCGTCCTGAGCCCTGCTGCTCCCCTCAGCCGAATGCCTGCGTGAGCCTTGCTGGCTGGGACCGGCCCAGCCTTTTGGCCCCACAGCTTCAGCGTTCCCGAAACGTGCTCCGCTTCTCACCAGCGCGCTCCAAACGCACCGAGACCACGATCCATCTCTTTAGTTTGGCTCGCTCCTTCTCACAGACCACGCCAAGCTCCACGGAGCAGGGACACTCACCAGCAAACCACCGTAAAAAGCTCACAGCTCAAAAGGCACCGATTTAGCTCGCTAACACCCAGGCTGAGGAGAGGAATATTTCATTTATTCCAGCCTGACTCATCTGCTCAACATATTTTCCTTTTTCCAGGCAGCAAACCTCACGGTCTCTCTGCAGACCTTACCGCTTGTCCGCACAAGCGGAAGAGACTCAGCTCGAACCATGGAGCCCGGTTCTTATCAGAGCAGATATCGAAATGTTTCTTCTCTCAAGCACGCTCGGTTGCGGAAAAGATTTAAAAGACTGGTGGGTTTGTGCTGATTGCGGGCACGAGAGCCGCCCAGTGAGCGGTGCTGGGCGAGAGACCTGGAAACTTCACGCAATCTGTGTCATCGGTCTGGGAGCAGCGGGTAACCGGGAGGGAGCCACTTTAAATCAGAAGAGCACAGAG